GTTAAACCGGGTGGCTCCTTGGAGGCAAGGATTCTGAGGCTCCGTCTAACATACGTTGGACATGTTGTGAGGAGAGACTGGTCCTTAGAGAGGGACATCATGCTTGGGAGGGTAGAGGGACAGCACAGGAGAGGAAGGCCCTCTATGAGGTGGATTGATTCAGTGACTGGGATAATTGGGATGGTGTGTCGGAGACAGTGCAATTGCTACAGGACAGAGCGGAGTTTAGGGCTGTTGTACATGGGGTCGCAATGAGTTGCAAGCGACTCGACGGCACATAACAACAACAACAACAAACAACAGGCTACAAGAGTTACGTGATACATCTTCAAGGATATGAATATGTATGGCTAAACACAATTGATAACAGTGCATCTAAATTCCAAAATCAATTTTCACAATAGTCTACGTGTTTCCTATTGCCAAACGGGCCCTTTATGGTAGTGAGAGAAGATCTTCACCCTGAAACCTATAGCATCCCTTTTCAGCAAGAAATAGCTAAGAGAACATGCCATCCCCTTTTCCTTATGAATCAGGGTGAAGTCTCTCTCAGGGAGGAGTGATAGTGGACCCATAAACTGTAAAGATAAAAAACTTTTCTGTTCTGGAGAAAGTGAAAATAGAGTGGAGACAAAAAACATTTTATAGATGACAAAACTACTTCCCTGGAGGATGAGATTAAACTCAGTTTCTGATTCCTGAAACTCAGTAAATACTGAAATTCTCTCTTATATATTACATGTCAAATTAAATTGCTTAATTAGCTAAAAATAAAATAGCCTTTAATAATAGTAACTGGAAATACCTCCATCCAAGTAAGAGCAGGTCCACAATTGATCTTGTTGCCAGCAATAGCTGAAAGGCGTGCCAGATAAGCCACAAGCATCTGAGTGATTGACTACGGAAGAAACAGAAAGAATTACCAGCAACTTAAAATTTCCTCACAGATTGTTGTTAGATACCATCAAGTTGAGTTCAACTCATTGCGACCCTATGACCAGGCACAGTCTTAGACCGTGCGATCCTCAATATCTAGTGTAAATCAACAGTTTCAAGGAGAAAAAGAATCTACTGATCTTTATGCATTTTAATAGTCACAGAAGATTTCTCACAGAGACCTAACACTTCTATGGACTGAAATAGTGACTTGCATTGACACATGGATAGTAACTCCATTTCTGTCTCTTGTAGAAATATAAACTCTTAATCATTTATTAATAGATACTACATAGCTTCTAATGTTATAGCTTCCTCTTTCTATTTTAGTACTGAAAAGGCAAAATTATGGAGGTATTTTGTGGGATTCTTTTCTTCTGCCTTGCTACTCTGAAACACTTTCCCCCAGGTATCTGTTATAATCCTCCAACCACATGACTGTGATTGTTGTTACTGGGTGCCATCACGCTGGTACCAGTGTACCCAGTGTATAACCTGCCCGTTCCAGCAACATTCTCCCAGAATCTGTTGTGCTCAACAAGCTCATGCTTCTGATTGATCTCATTTTGGGTCTTCCTGTTTTTGAAGATCTTACAATTTTCCAAGTATGATGCCCTTCTCCAGGGCTTGAAAACATGCCCAAAGTATGTGATACAAAGCCACATCATCTTTCCCTCCACATCTGATTGTTGTTAGGTACCATGAAGTCCCCTATAACTTAACAGCAACAGGTCTGAATCTTGCCTTATACTGCCCCATCTCACAATCTCTGATATGCTCAAGCCTGCTGTTATAGTCACTTTGCACATTTTGCTGAGAGTCCTCCTCTCTTTTTCTGACCCTCTACCTTTCCCAGAATTACACTCTTTTTCAAAGACTGGCTTCTTCTGTGCACAAAATATGTGAGGCATTTCACCATCTTTGCCTTTAACAAGCAGCCTGGTTACACATCCTCCAAGACTTGTTCTTTTGGCAGTCTTTTGGCTATTAAGATTTATTCTCCAAAACCAAAACTAAAACATATCAATAGTTCTTTGAGCATCTACATCCACAAGCCAAAATTTAGTAGGACCATCAGGCTGGAGCAACTGACCCTAGCTCACAACATGGATCATCCTCTCTTCATCTGACTCGGCTTCATCACTTCTGTGTCCAGGCTCGCACAGGCATCAGCTGGATGCTCAGGAGTCCCTGATTCTCCCTGCATCCAGATCTGTCAGTCACCTCACTGATCCCAAGCTTCCATATGGGGCCCAGTCAACAAATCAGGGATCCTCACAATATCCTGCTCCTCAAGCAAATAAGTCTGCCTGCTAATCCACATGTTTGAGCAAGCAAGATGAGCAGCACTGAAGGAACTGTTCCAATTTCAGTCTGTTTATTCATTCCTCCCACTTCCACTTCTGTAGATCCAGGTGATCACTGGGTGAGCATACTCCAACCTCAAGGCTTGGAAGTAGGCTATGATGGGCACCAACTTTACCATACCAGAAGCCAAACAATCTGTACCAGTTTTGAAAAGCCAGTCACTTCCTTTACCTTATTCTTTTACATTCTCCCCTTTCTTGCTAGCCCTTCTCGAAAAGTGACGTAACTCTAGATGTTGATCATGGATCCAAGTAAAATAAAATACTGACATCATTTTTTTTTCTACCTATAATGATGTTGTCCATTGGTGATATGTACTTTTTTTTCATTTTCAATTTTTTTATTAATTTTAATGAACATTTACAGAGAGTTTGGATTTCCATTCATTCATTATTGCATTTTTCTTTCTGCCTGCCCCTCTCCTCCCTAAGTCACTCTTCTCTTTGAAAAGTAAAAGAAAAATTCTTTGATTGTTATACAATCTCTCTCCCCAAGTGCATCTTCACAATGCAGCCTTCATTCTGGACTCTTGTCATGATAAAAATACTTAATCATATATTGGTTTTAAACAGTTCTTTCTCTCATCTGTTTCAATGCAGTAAACATTATTTATCCCCTCTTTCTCAGTCTTCCCTCAAACCCGATGTTAGTCCCATTTTACAACGGTGGCACTATGCAGTATTTGTCCTTTTGTGTCTGAGATATGTCACTCAGCATAATGTCCTTCAAGGTAATCCATTTTGAATATTTCCTGAGTTCTTTGTTTTTCCCTGCAGCACCACAGCTTCTCTATTCATTCATTTGCTGATGGATACTTAGGTTGTTTCCAACTCTTTGCTATTGTGAACAAAGACTCAATGAACATGAGTGTTCTGCTTGGGTGGCAGTTATAAGCGCCACACCGCTTTCCACAGTGTTTGCTCCATTTTACACTCTCACCAACAGTGAATAAGGGTTTCAGTTTCTCCATAACCTCGCCAGCATTTGATGTTTGTTGCTCTGTTAAATTTTGCTGTTCTTACTAGGGTCAGATGTTATCTCATAGTTGTTTTGATTTGCATCGTTCTTAGAGGTAGGGGTTTTGAAAATTTCTTCATGTGTTTGTTTGCCATCTGGATGTCTTCTTTGGTAAAGTGTCTGTTCATATCCTGTGCCCATTTTCAACTGGGTTGTTTACCTTTATCTTGTTATGGTGCTCGACTATTTTATAAATTCTAGATATAAGTCCCTTATCTGACATGTCGTTACCAAATATTTTTTCCCAGTCTGTGGCTTCCCTTTTTACCCTGTTGGAGAACTTTTTGGATGTGCATAGGGATTTGATTCTTAGAAGGGCCCATTCATCTATTTTATCCCCTCCTGGTTGTAGATGTTTCAGGATGCTTAAGGCTGTAGTCTTTGATCTTCTGGAGCAAGAGTATCAAGTCTGCTTTACTTTCAGCAAACAAGTGTATGTCATATGTATAACAGGTTTTTAATGAGTCTTCACCAATTCTGATGCCATATTCTTCTTCATATAGCACAGTTTTGGGAATATTTTGCTCAGCATACAGAATGAGTAAGTACGGAAGAGATACAGTCCTGATGCACACCTTTCCTCACAACAGCTTCTTGGTGTAGTTGTAGGCTTTGCATGAGTACAATTAAGTGTTCTGGAATACCCTTTCTTCTCAACACTACAAATAATTTATTATGATCTCCACAGTCAAATGCTTTTGTACAATCAATGAAACAGAAGTCAATCTTTTTCTGGTATTCCCTACTTTCAGTTCAGATCTGTCTGACATCAGCAATAGTATCCTTTGTGCTGTGACTTCTTTTGAATTTGGCTTGAATTTCTGACAGTTCCCTGTTCCTATGCCTTTTTAGACATTTCCAAATATTATTCAACAAGATTATACTTATTTGTGAAATTAAGCATATTGTTTGATAATTTCCACATTCTGTTAGAGATCCCTTGTTAATTTCCCCCCTCCCCCTCCATGTAAACAAATATGAATCTTTTCCAGTCACTTGGCCAGGCAGCTGTCATACAAACTTCTTGGAAATGCACATAATATTCACTATTTTTCAACTTAATTAAAAGTTATCAATTCTTCTTTGGTCTTAACGATTGCCCAGCTTTTACTTGCATATGACCCAATTGACAATACCAAGACTTGAGTCAGACACACCTTAGTCTCTGTTTTCTTCATGTTGTGCTGTAATCTATACCGAAATCTTTAGGTTTTGAACTTCAAGTCGTATTCATTTTCTGCAAGCAAAATGATATTGTCTACCTATCACAGGCTGTTAATAAGTTTTCCTGATGCCACATTCTTCTTATATAGTTCAGACTCTCAAATAATTTACTCAGCATCCAAGGTATGCAAGAGCTTCCAAATTCATACATGATTCCACCCCAGGACTGATGCAGGCCATAGTCTTTTCAATTACTTACTATGTATCAGAAAGCTGGACAAATACTAGGGATAACAAAAGGAGAATTGATGCCTTTAAGCTATGGTGCTGGAGAAGAGTAATGAATATACCATGGACTGCTAGGAAAACAAACAGGTTCAACCTAGAGAGGGTGAGAGCAGGCAAGGATTCTGAAGCTTTGTCTGACATACCTTGGACATGTTATAAAGCAGGAACAGTGCTTGGAGAGGGACATCATGCATGGGAGGTTGGAGGGACAAAGCAAGAAAGAAAGACCCTTGATGAGATGGACTGACTCAGTGGCTGAGGTAATAGGGGTAGTCTGTCAGAGACAATAAGATTGGTACAGGATAAAGCAGGATTTAGGGCTGTTGTATACAGGGTTGCTATGAGTTACAGGTGACTTGACGGCACATAACAACAACAATCACCAGCACCCCATGACAGCTGATTGTTCAGGAATGTAAACAAATGAGTAAATGAAGAATCACCCCAAATGTCCCTAAACAGATTAACAGACAAAGAAAATATATAGCATTATATCATAAAAATATTAGCAATGTTTCTAACAGTATTATTCACTACCACAAGAACATGGAAACAGCCCAGATGTAAGTTGTGGTACATTAATACAATGGAATACTACATAGAACGTTGGAACTATCATTTTGTAAATTACTACCTAATTTGGGTAGTAGTATCATTCACCACAAGGACAAATACTGTACTAAAAAAAATTATTGCAGAATGTGTATAAGGATAGCAGGTTAGGGGAGGGTGGAAAAAGAGGGGTAGGGATAGATGGGGGGGGTTAATCATAGGGTTGCACAATAATTAGATCGGTAAGTGGGGTGAAGGAAATGGTAAGAATATTTTTTTAAAAACAATGTATACAAACTTTGCAAATAAATCAGAGAAATATAAAAAAATTTAAAAAATATTAGCATTACCGTGGTGGTTAAGACAGCATGGTACTGGTACAATGACAGACACATACATCAATGAACAGAATTGAGAGCCCAGAAATCAGCCCATCTACATATGGTCAACTGATTTTTGACAAGGACATGAAATCAGTTAAGTGGAGAAATGACAGCCTTTTAAACAAATGGTGCTGGCAAAATTGGAAAAATATCTGCAGAAGACTCAAGCAAGATCCACACCTCACTCCAT